CCCCAAAACCCCAAAACCCCATCTGATAAATTAACACATATTAATTTGAGTATCTTATAACGTTTTATTAAATTAATAAATTTAAATCTCAATTGTAAATATTATAGTTACTTTCTTCATCATTGACAATATCTTCAAATTTATTGAGCTTTTGAGGTCCACTGGACCTATAGCTTTCATCCATGTACTCATCTTCGCTATTAATCACATCCTGATTTTGCTGCTAGTACTTCATTGGCTTTTCATTTCCATTCTTATTTCCTCCGTGTAGAGCTTTCATCAGTGAGTCAATCTCAGTTTCAGGTGTTTTCTTGGGCTAGGTAGGTTTCTTTACCCCGATCACTCTGACAGGCCTAGGGATGCCATTTTCATCAAAGTATTTATACGCATCTCTCTTCACATTTTTGTATTTTTTAATTGAATAAGCTCCACCCTTTCTAATTCTTCTGGCTACATGCTCATAGATCTTGGTAACATACTTCCAGACGCACTCCATAACATGATTTATCTGCGACTTCAAAGGTGGCCATCTGCCAGAGAGGTCTTCTTTTTTAGTATTTACAGCAGTGGACATGAGATAATCATATTTCTTTATAATAGCTGAGTTGTCTACAAAGTCATCCTAGGTTGTTAAATCTAGCACCAAAAGCTAAGGCTCAAAGCCAAGAGGCTCAACTACTCTAATATGAGCAATTTAGTCAATGTCGTGATCAAACATAAACACTGTGGACATGGTTTCAATCATGCCATAGGTACAGCCCTCAAAGTCTAACTCATCTTCATCTATCTCGTTCGAGTCTGGGTTGATAATATCATCCATGTTAATGGTCACATTGTCTCTCTTTTTTATTTCATCTAAGACTTCGTTCTTATACTTAAAACTCAACTCTTAAATAGCTAGATGAGTCTCTGGAATAGCATTAAAAGCTCCTTTTCTGTGTAAGTCTCTGGGCTTGATCTAATCTGCTCCAGATATCAAATTGGTATCCATTTCATGATTGTGAAAAGACCTATACTTCCACAAGAAATAGGGATCGTTAGGGATGTCTATCTCCTCAAGCATCTTACTGAACTTCTTATACTACTCAGGTATATTTGGATTGATATCTGCATCATCGTTATGCCTAAAGCACAGATCTCCGAATTCTCCATTTTCGTTAGTTGAAAAGTTAAAGTTTATCGCACTCTGCTCCTCATAACCCAGAGGTGCATACTAAGACTTCTTGTGTAGCTTCGCCTGAGCCAGCTAGTTATTTCTCTTATGAATGAATTGAATAGCCGATTTCCTTAGGAAAGTCATCTGGAATGGACAGGAGTTTTTGTATCTAGAGAATTTAGTATTGATGTCTGGCTTTCCACACCTTGAGCAATTAATCGTTAGAAGTGTGCATGTCATCTCTCTGGTTGATTTTACAAATTATAAACTGGCTCTGAATCCTCTTTAAACCATCATTCTCTTTACTAAAAATAAGTCTTAAAAATAAATAATTATTTTACCTTTGATTATCAAGTTGTTTCTTGATGTAATATTACCAATATCATTGGCAAAGTCCACGAAATCTGCTGTCATAGTGACTAGCTTCTCTCCTTTTTGATATAGAAGTCTTGCGTATCCTAGTTCTTTATAAGGTATAGGAGGTGGAACCCAGGTATCCCAAGGGATAAATCCTATTAATTTAGTTGTCAGACTGTAGTGATACTCTTGATCTGCTTTTACTTTGATTTCAGAAGCTGTTGCCTCAGCCCATTCCTTAGGTACCACATTGTACTTATATATTTTCTCGTCATGCTTTAACTTCTTCCTCAAATTTGCAGACTATGGAATAAATTTAGACTCGATCTACTCTTGATTCTCCATCTTCAAGCCATAAATCTTTTTAAGTTTCTCTTCACTTTGATCTTTCTCTTACTTCAGGAAATCACTTGGCTTGGACTACCCATTGGTGCTACTCATAATAGAGCTTTGATTCAAGATGCTTTATATCTGCTTTGATATCTCATTAAACTCTTCCCCTATCTCTTTATCTTTAGCCTAGTCATAGATGTACTCTGCTTTTTGTAACTAAGGGATAAATACCTCTTGATTCACTCCTAGAGCTGTATTATTTTATCTTAGTTAGGATGCTCTCAATCTTAACTCAATTGAAGTCATTTTTCTTCCTCTTTTCAAAGCACCCTCACCCATAATATCGCTCTTCAAATCAGGGTCTTCTCCATTATAACCTGCCTAAGAGTTGTCAATTTTAAGTGTGGTTTATGAGGCCATTCCAGCAATTTCTTAGTGTCTTTACACTCTTTACTTTTCGATAAAGTCAAATTTATCTGGTCTTTCGAGATTACTGAAAACTCCATCTGCCATTCTATTTCTCTTTACTCTTCTTGCATTAGTGTTTTCAAGCTAACCCTTTAGACTCTAAAGGTGATCGAAAATAGACTTGTTTTCTAATGTCTCTGTTTCTTACTTTAGAAACTTAGGCTTTCTACCTCTCTTCTTTGGTATTGACTAATGATCAGGTTAAGTCTGTTGCTATTATTATTATTGCTGTTACTGCTTATTTACACCATTACTTTGTCTTGACGAGGAAACTGAACTGCCAGAATTGTCATCATCACTGTATTTCTCTAACCCTTCCCACTGGGACTCATCTCTGACTATGTCTTTATCTAGTTCTTAGAATTTTTAGAACAAATTTTGAGTAAATTAAGCAGTTTAAAGATCATCTTTGCTCATTGCATTGTTTGAAATGTTTAGGCTGATATTGGGTAGTATTGGTATTTCTGGATTTAAATGATTTTAAAATCCGTTAGTGTTTATTATAGCATGCTTCGCCTATTTATCATTCTTCTTGGTCTGCATTTGATTTTCAAGGCTAGCTATGCTGCTGCTTAGTCTGGCTAATTAATTGTACATTTGATTATCGCCGAAGTTGTTACTCTCTACAGCTCTAGATGAGACTCTGGTTTGCTTTAAATTCTCAGCAGGCTTTGAGAAATCAAAGATTAGATTATCCTTCAAGTCTCTATTTTGAGTTTTAGTGTTGAAGAATAATATCCTATCGGGGATGGTATAGCTTACAGGTAAAGTGCCATCATCTAATTGATTTGGATTAAATCTCTAACCGGTCTTGTGTAAATAGGTGAGTTTATCAGCTATGGAAGTATCCTAGATTGATATTGAGTTTCTTTTGGACAAAATATAGGACTCACCTTCTCTGATATCATTAATATCACTAATATAAAGCAAAGGTGTAAGCTCATTGGCTATATTAAAAGATTTGGGATCGTTGAGTTTGTATTAATTAGCTAAGTGCTTGAAATAATCAAGCATGCTTGAGAACTTGTCTTTTTCAAACCAAGTGGTATACTTAACGTCGTGCTATTCTATGGTTAATTAAATCTGAAATCTATTAGTAACCAGTGGCGGGATATAAGCACTGGTACTTGCTGATGAATTAATGATCTTATTGTACATTTAAGCATTTGGACTATCTTAATAATAGCCTTTAGGTTTTCTTCCTCTGTTTGATTTTTTTGGCTGAAAATTTGACTGTAAAATGGGATAAGGTAATACTGAAATCGGGCCATTGGACTTGTTGATATCACTAAGTAAATTTATATTTAGCTCTTGTGTTGGATTTGAAGTGACTTAATTTAAATTGACAGCGCTTACTCTCCCTGAAGAAGCTAGGCCTCCCAATCCGTTTCCGCTCTTACCCTTTTTGAGGAAGTCAGATATACTTGGCTTCCCATTAATTCCTCCTTCTAGATTTGTATTCAATGCACCAAATGAGGAGCTTTGCTATAGCAAATTTTAATAGTTCGTTTTCGACTGATCATCCTCTTCGTAGCTATCAGTTTTTATCTAGGAGCTGATACGACTCAATGAACTAGTTTAAATTTATTTCAGTTTATTATTAATACTGGCTTAAAGGTCAGAGCCTAACCCATATCCATATTACTACCCTCCTGAATCACTTGACGCTAAAAAGCTAGTTTAAAATGGTGCCAATAAAGCTGACCCATTCCCAAATTACTGAATAAGATTTGGATTGACAGTTGCTATTCCTGCAGTGTATAAATTGTTAAACCCCGTACTCATTTATTATAATTATTAATGGTTGTAAGATTTTCTTTTAATTTTTATTAATTATCTTATTTTAAGTTCCTCCATAAATTCACCAATATTTTGAATATTGGGGTTTTGGGGTTTTGGGG